ACTCTAGCTCTATTACACAAGCATGGAACCAAAATCCTTTGGAGATGGTGGGGGTGGAATGGCTTCTTCTGACGACTTCAGAGCAATGAGGGAACAAGAGAGATCATGGATCTGCCCCTACAGTCCTGGAGACCTCTCAATCTGGGGTTAGGAAGAAAGGGGACCTCCCTTGCGGTCCAGGGGTCGCCTCCCTCCGCAGACCCTGTGCTGGGAGGCAGCAGAGGGCACAGCTGCCCAGGAGTCCCAGAAGGCGGCGCCGCATCCCGGAGGCGCGGGCCGGGACCATTCTGGTGCTTCTTCGCAGGTAAAGTGCACTAGGGGATGCGGGCCTGGCTCTCACTGCTTCATCCCTCCAGGCACAACCGGTCCCGGGGCTGGGAGGTCGGGCGGCTGTGGCCCGCATCTCACGCCCAGGCACTGGGACGCGGCGGAGTCTCACCACGGGTTCCAGGTTCACTCCCAGGACTTGGCGCGCTTGGCGCCGCGCTTCTGCCACGCTGCTCTCGACCCACACGTCGCCGACTACGCGGATGCTGGGCGAGGTGGTCAGCGTTGGGGTGGCTGCCCTCCCACTCTCCTCCAGGGTGCGGCCCCCGGAGCTGGGCCCGGGGGCCGTGGGCTTGCGGGGGCTGCTGTCCTCGCGGGACTGCGGCGGCGGGGGCGGCACCTTCCTCTGGCCGGCGGCGACCTTCCGGGCTCCGTGGCGCCTCCTCCTGGCAGCTCGCCGGCGCGTCTGGAGGCGGGCCTTGGGGGGCTGGTGCCGGTGGTCCGGAACCTGGGCCAGGAGGGAGGAGTAGCCATAGACGTCCTTGCTGCGCAGGATGCGGGGGGAGAACTGGTGCTTGAGGCTGCAGAGGTAGCTCCAGAGCTCCGCGTCTGAGCTCATGAACTCCGTGCTGCCGGGCACGAATAGCTTGAAAGCGTCGATCAGCGCCTTGCTGCTGTTGGTCAGCGACAGTGGCGACGGTTGCCACCGCGTGTACACCACCTTCTCCTCAGGCGCCTCCAGCGTGGCCCTTACTGCAGCGCTAGAGGCTCCTCCCCAGGTGGCCGGGGCCAGGGCCTCCCGGGGCCTGCGCCGCCTCCTCTTCATGCGGCTCAGGAGGTGAGGCCGCTAGGGGCCGCCCGCGCTTGCCAGGTCTCGCCGCCGCCGCCGGGCCCTGATGAATTTCCTGCCAGAAGCCAAATAAGGCAGCAGGCTGTTGAGAGTTACACCGCAGTTGCTAGGAGACCAGGCGCTTTGTGAGTCACAATGTCTACCTATGCTATCACTGCCGGCTGCCCAAAGCTGCCTTAGGTTGGGCTGTGTTTAAGATTATGCCCTTGAGAAAGACCTGCACGTAATCTTACCTGAGAAGGCCCATAGTTCTTGATGAGTTCAAGAGGGTTGTCCTCGACGTGAATGCACTGGTGCCTCAGCCTCCATTAATTCCATCCAACATGAGATGACACTTCGCGGTGGAGAGTACACACAACTTGCAATCAAACATGACTGTAAGAGGGTTTTAGCTAATTAAATGCCTTGTCATGCAACACACTGAAAGCCAAATTGAAGTAAGTAATTTACTCTTTCAAAGAATACAGATATATTGTGCTTTGGTTAGGGTTCCATATGTGTGTGGGTATTGCTCACAGTTCAGGAAGCTGTTCTTCACAGCAGCAGCAAACAGTTTGCCTAGTTAGGATGCATGCTCACTTTCACCCAGCTTACGGAAGACGAGTCATTGTGTGCTTAAGAGCAAAGCGTCAATGAATTCTGCGTGAGTGGCCATAAGGGCATACAGTGCCACTAAAACCTATTCGGTACCTACCAATTCATGATATTTCAGGTAAGTCACACACAGGTAGTAAAAGACCGTATGGGATTCCATGGGTAGAAAACGTGTTACACCGTCCGTGTAAGTGCTTTTGAAAGCAACCAGCATGGTCCATCCATCATCACCACATACGCAAATAATTCACAAAATATTACAAGGACCACCTACCATGATCAATTGAAATCCACTTCTTCATGAAAGGATTACACCAAACTATTGCGAATCAATAAAAGGGATAAGTCATCGTAACAATCAGAAGAGACACTTGTCAAGGTCAACGTGATACATGTGAGAGGCCTCTGTGTTTACTCAACTCCTTTTCTTAAACACACAAACCAAACTTTCATCTAGGCAGCTTAAGCCAGTACTACCTCACGTTCAAAATGTACTGAAAATGGAAAGCTATCCTCATATTCAGTAAGAGCAACCCCTGGATTTCCTTTTTCATTAAATGTCATTTATTTTCAAATTGGTTTCCCCGCAACACCCAGTGTTCATCCCAACAGGTACCCTCCTCAATGCCCATCACCCACTTTCCCCTCTCCCCAACCCCACGTCAACCCTCAGTCTGTTATCAGTATTGAAGAGTCTCTTATGGTTTGCCTCCATCCCTCTCTATAACTATTTCCCCGCATCACCTCCCCCATGGTCTTCTGCTAAGTTTCTCAGGATCCACACGTGGATGAAAACATATGGTATCTGTCTTTCTCTGCCTGACTTATATCACATAGCATAATACCCCCCGGTTCCATCCACGTTGCTACAAATGGCCAGATTTCGTTCTTTCTCATTGCCAAGTAGTATTCCTTGGTATACATCAACCACAACTTCTTTATCCACTTGTCAGTTGATGGACAGCTAGGCTCTTTCCATAAGTTGGCTGTTGTTGAAAGTAGTGCTATAAACATTGGGGTACATGCGCCCCTATGTCTCAGCACTCTTGTACCCCTTGGGTAAATTCCTAGCAGTGCTATTGCTAGGTCTTAGGGTAGATCTATTTTTAATGATTTGAGGAACCTCCACACTGTTTTCCAGAGTGGCTGCACCAGGATGCATTCCCACCAACAGTGCAAGAGGGTTCCTGTTTCTCCGCATCCTCACCAGCATCTATAGTCTTCTAGTTTGCTCATTGTAGCCACTCTGAATGGCATGAGGTGGTATCTCAGTGCGGTTTTGATTTGGATTTCCCTGACGAGGAGTGCTGTTGAGCATCTTTTCATGTGTCTCTTGACAATCTGGATGTCTTTTTTAGAACAGTGTCTGTTCAAGCCTTCTGCCCATTTCGTCACTGGATTCTTTGATTTCCGGGTGTGGAGTTGGTGAGTTCTTTTTACAGGTTTAGGGTACTAGCCAATTCTCCAGTATGACTTTTGCACACATCTTTTCCCATTCGGTCAGTTGCCTTTTAGTTTTGTTGATTGTTTCCTTCATTGTGGAGAAGTATTTTATTTTGATGAGATCCCAATAGTTCATTTTGCTTTTAATTCCCTTGCCTTTGGAGATGTGTCAGCTAAGAACTTGCTGACGCTGAGGTCAAAGAGGATTTTTCCTGCTTTCTCCTCCAGGGTTTGATGGTTTCCTGTCTCACATTCACGTCCTTCAACCATTGTGAGTTTATTTTTGTGAGTGGTGTAAGAAAGTGGTCTAGTTTCATTCTTCTGCATGTTGATGTTCACTTCTCGTAGCACCATTTGTTAAAGAGACTGTCTTTTTTTCCATTGGATATTCTTTCCTGCTTTGTCAAAGATTAGTTGGCCATACGTACGTGGGTCCAATTCTGGGGTCTCTATTCTATGCCATAAAGTCTATGTATTTGTTTCTGTGCCAATACCATGCTGTCTTGATGGTTATAGCTTTGTGGTAGCGGCTAAAGACTGGCATTGTGGTGCCTCTGACTTCGGTTTACTTTTTCAGTATTACTTTGGCTATTCAGGGTCTTTTGTGTTTCCATACATATTTTATGATTGTTTGTTCCAGCTTGCAGAAGAATGCTTGTGTAATGTGATTGGTGCTGCATATAATGTGAGGACTGCGTTGGGTCGTATTGACATTTCGCCAATATTTATTCTTCCAATCCACGAGCATGGAATGCTTTCGCTTTCTCTGTATCTTCGTCAATTTCCTTCACAAGCCTTCTATAGTTTTCAGAATACAGATCTTTTTCCTCTTTGGTTAGCTTTATTCTTAGGTACGTTATGACTCTTGGTGCATTGTAAATGGGATCCGTTTCTTTATTTCTCTTTCTGTTGCTTCATTATT